CGTTAAACTGGCCAGCCAGAGGAGGTCTCTTTGGGAATGTGACATTTGAGCTGAGATCAAAGGAAAAGAGGGAGATCTGGGGGTAGTATTTCAGGTTATGGGAACCGCATGGGCCAAGTCCAGTGTGAGGACCTGGCATCGAGGTGACCATGGAGGAAAGAGTAATGAGATACCACCCAGACAGGCAAAAGCAGATGCTGCCCCAAGTGTATAGAGGAAACTTTGGGAGGGTTAAGAGTAGCTTGACATGGCATGATTAATGTTGTCACAGATTCATTCCTACTGCTGTGCAGCAGAAAGATTCTAAGGGAAAATGGGCCACAATGAAATAAATTAATAGACTGCTGCGTTAGTTCTAGTAAGTAATTTTAGCAGCCTGGACTAGAGTGAAAAAAGTTATAGTAGAAGAAGTAGATAGATTTGGGATCTAGTTTAGGAACAGTAACAGCAGTGCTTACTGATTCTACAGAGATGGTGGGGGAGGGGAGATAAACATGGAGATGACTTGTGGGTTGTGAGCTTTAACCTGTGGGTGATGGTGCATTCACTTGATGGACACAATGGTCAGAGGAACAGTTCCATTGGGGGTGGTGGTCCAGAGAGGTGCTTCAGATACACTAAGTTTAAGTTATCTAGAAAGTATTCAAGTAGAGATAAGTAAAACATATAACTTCACTCTATACACACACACACACACACACACACACACACACACATATATATATGCTTTTGCAGCTCAATGGATAGGTCAGGATTCCTTTACAGATTTGAGGGCCAATGCCATATAAATGATGTTTAAAGCAATGGGAATAGACGAAGTTATTTAATCAAGTAATGCAGATAAAGAAGAGAAGGAGACCAAGCAATAAGTTCTGTGGAAATCCAGTGTTAAGAGGTTGGAGCAAATAAGCCATCACCAAGAAAGCCTAAGGAAAAATAACCATTTGTGTGAATGTGATCACAACAGCCAAAGGAAGAGTGTTTCAAGGAGAGAGATATCAAAATGGTCAAAGGCAGTCAGTGAGATGGATTAAATCCAGTGAGGACAGAATAATGACCAATGCTTTTGAAAATAGAGAAGTCATTGGTACCCTTGATGGACAAGACTGATTAGACAACCTAAAGAGAAAATGATATGATAGAAAGTGACAAAAAATAAAATAATAGACGAGGCCACTTTAGACAGTTTTTCCAAGCATTTTCTTTTGTAAATAATTGGGCATCAACTGAAAGTGTCAATGTAATATTTATTTATTTTTGGTTTTTATGTGTATCTATATACATCTATAGGCACATATGCGTACATACATGTACTTATGCACACATATACCTGCATGCACACACATGCACATACACAGACACACAGACACATATTTTTTAAAAGGAAGCTACTAAAGCATGTATATATATATTATATATGTATATGCTTATTAGAAAAGGAGTATAATACCAAGCAATATAAAGACCATTTCCTATTTCTCGGCAAGATTGGCAGTATATCCTTTAGAGACAGTTTTTGTTATGTTTTGTTTTGCTTTTTGTCAGTGGTTAACAACTCAGTACCATGGAGTATTTGTCGAATTGCAAAGAAATTTCCATGGCACCGAAATCCCGTGTGTGGAATTTACACATATTTATACACAAACTCTACTCACATCATGTGTTTTGAATAAAGTAGTATTTCCTGCTTGATGTTAAAGAATGAGAAAAGTGCTCTGCAGTGTTGTTCCCCTCAGAGAAGTATGGAGAGATGTCGCAGCAGTTGTCCTGCCTGTCATGTACAGATCATTTCCTATGCAAGATCTGATGCAGCTGTTTATGAGTTTACTATGTAGGTTACATCATTTCCACTTTAAAATGAAGAAACAGACTCAAAAAGTTGAGTAATTTATCCAAGTGGCAGAAAGTAGCACTCTCTTTCCAGTGAGTCAGTGCTCAACTTCAGAGTTCTGAAGAGAAAAAATAAAAAAGAAAGTGCTTAGGAAGCCGCTGTTCAAAAGGAAATCACTCATAGGAAGTTGCAGTTAACAGTGCCCAATTTCGTAAGTTTGTCTGACTGTCACTTATTACCTCCCCCAAAAGAAAAATCCAACAAATGTAGCTGATAGATTTTTGAACCTCAGCTACTTTGAGGCCATTGGAGTTTCAGGTCTACATCTGCCTCGGCCTGTAACCGAAGTCAACTGAGTTCCACTGATACAGACAGAAACACACACTGCATTCAAGACTGATCTCATCACCATTCAGCAAGTTAGAATACCTTTGCTGAGTAAAGGTATGCTTGAGTAGGGTTCTTACATACAAAGGGGGCAAAAGAATATAAACTCAATAATATTTCACTAGGAAACCCACAGAAGGATCATTTTTCCAATTCAGAAATTATTGGTAATAGGTACATAATATTTAGTTGTACTTGAAACCAATGTAACAAATCAGCTCAAAACTATACCAAAGGTGTCAAAACTATGAACTGAGAAGTGTTCAGATATGGATGTTGCACTCATAGAGCTCTACCTCTATTGGGAAACATGAAGTGAAGCACAGAAATAGTTAGAAATATATGCTAATCAAAAACAGAAACCCTAAATGGAACCATCAGTCTTGCAATTGAGGTGTAGGAATAGTGAGCAAAGGCCACTCTACAGATGATAATATTACCTACTCTTGTAAATATATACAAGATATAGAAAGTTTTTACATGAGTTGCATTTTACCTATTAGAATTCAATGAGGTTAGCAGAGGTTATATTATTGGTATTTTATATATGGTTACCAGGTGGCTCAAAGTAGTTAGGGTGTTTGTGGAAGCCATACAGCCAGTGGAAAGGTTTCATACACAGTATAATGACTATTCCTCTAGACCACATTGTGCAGAGGTTTTGCTTTGCATTTCAAACTCCCTCTCCCAAAGGACTTCAAGCTGTTTCCAAAATGTTCCACAAGCTAGTATGTTTTCCAAGATTCATACACTTTGTAGAATGGGCTAGTTGGGGGTTATACCTTAGTGTTGTAAACAGACAGGACTTGAATGAGCAGGTTTAGGATTTACAGTAATGATCCTAGGTTATGACATTTCCTGTGCATATAACATATTGTTTTGATGATTTACACTCATAATTTACTATGTTTGCATTTTCAAAATAATACAATTTAAACTATATATTTTAAATAAATGCTTAAAACTCTGTTCCGTGGGTGAAATTTCTTAAAATAGTTCTTTGATTCACCTCAGGTGGTTTTTGTTATACTGTACTTCGTTTATAGTCATTCGCAGCATCAGATGTTAGATTGCATTTAATTTTCCTCATCTTAATTTCCATAACTGGTTATACAACCTGATGAGGAGAAATATGGAGTGGATTTTGCTCCTTCAAGAAAAGACATCAAACTTTCATAATCGTACTGGGAATGACAGTTCAAATTAACCAACTATTTCTGTTTCCTTTACTGGCAGGGCGGAGGGAGGGAGAGAAAGGTCGAGAGACAGTGTTAACACCATCCGTGCTCAGAAAGGAGACTGTTCCTCTAGGTCTGAATAATCAAGTGCATGTTTTTAATTAGCAACATCTTTGTATCCTGTGCCTCATTTACATGCTCTTCTCTTATTTGGTGTGTTGATTTCTGCGATCATTCATGTTCCTACATGTCCGGAAAAAATAATCCAAACAACCAATTAAATCAACTGAAATAAGCGTGGAAATAAATACAGCAGGGAAAAGCCTCCTTCAGACTGGGAGCGATGGCGCCAAAGACGAAGCCTCAGACAAGGACTTTGTTTCCCTCTGACCACAGCACGCACTTTCTGAACCGTATTTTCATAGACGACACACACTTGTGTCTGCAGACATGAACAAGCACGTGCTGATCTACGTTTAACCAAAGGAAAAGGGAACCTTCATTTATCACAATTCTGAGCCGAAAGCAAGACTTCCCCTTAGAAATTGGCCTCGAGCAGCGAATACCCCTTAGGTCTGTGCAGGCGGGGAGGGCAGACGCCGGTCGGCAGCGCCTGCCCCGCGCGGGACCGCGAGCGCAGCCCACTCGCCCCGCCGGGACGGGCTCGGCGCCGGCCACTGCTGGACTTTCCCTGTCACTCAATAAGCTGCCTGCTCGGTTTTCCGTCCGGAGCGGTCTCGGCTCCGTCGCGTCTCTCCTGCGGGGACCGGCTGGGGCTCGCGCCGCCCCGCGCTCCCCGCCCGCCCGAGCCTGGCGCGAGCTCCGCCCCGGGGCGGCTGCAGGCGGCGGAGCGCCCGGCCCTTGCCGCAGGCCGGGCGGGAGCGCGGGCCGGGACCTCGCCCCGCCGTCGGGCTCGGAGGAAGACCCCGGCAGCCGCCCGCGCAGGGCCGGGGGCAGGCCGCCCGCCCGGGGACTGCAGTCGCGCGCGGCCGCCCCCCGCCCCGCCGGCCCGAATTTCCGCGCGAGTCGACGACAAGCCCGGCGCGGGGGTCTGCGCGCGCAAGTTCGGTGCCTGGCGGCGAGTGCGGCGTTATGACCCCAGCCTCCCTCTTTGCTGCACGTAGCTTCGCTCCGCGTGGCCGCGCCTGTGACCGGGTTCGGCAGTTTGGGTGCTGTGCGTGCCAGCCCCCCTCGCTCTGCCGGCGCCCGCACCCTTCGCTGCGCGGGGCGGGGCCGGCGCACTCGGACCACCCCAAGCCCCGCTTCCCTCTCGGAGCGCAGGGCAGGGCAGGCGGAAGCCGGGCGCGCTGAGCCGCGGGGGCGCGGAGCCTGGGCCGAGGCCTGGGGACGGCGCGACCCGGAGCGGCGCGGCGAGGGCGGCGCGGCAGACGGAGGAAGGATGGGCTGGAAACCGAGGCAGAGGGCCGAGAGGACTGGACGTGGCTCCGGCTTGACGAGGGTGGGGACGGGCGAGCCCTCCCGCTGACTTGGCGCGTTCCGTCCGCCTCCTTCGCGAGATTCGCCGCTTCCTGCCCCCGCGGAGCCGGCGTGGGGACGCGAGCACCGCCCGGAGCGCAGCCGCGGCCCTGCCGCCTGGCGGACGCCCCGCGCGCCGCGGCCACCCCCTCCCGGCCGGCGGCCTTCGCCAAGGTAGCGCCCCAGGTGCTGCTTCTTTCCTGTCTCATCATTTCATTCTCTGTCTTTTTCTTTGTTTTTTAACAATACCCTGTCGTTTCTGCGCGCAGAGCCCAGGAATCTCTGCTTCGTCTAATCTAGGGATTTCGAGTGGGGCGTCTCGAAGTGTGACCGTGCTCCCTCTAATGGTAATTAAGATTGCGGACTATTTCAGAATAGCCCCTTTCATCTTACGTAATTACAGACCCAGAGCTTTCCAAAGAAGCTCCGGATTTCCGAGAGATTTCTCTCGCCGTCTCTGCCCTTCTGCGCGCGCGCGCGTGCGCGTGTGCGCGCCACCGTTCATCCCGGCGCTAGGAAACTCGCTCGGGGCCACCGAAAAGTCAGGAGAGGCTCAGAGCCTTTCCCCCACGGATTCCTCCCTTTCCGGAAACGTTGCTGCCAAATAAGCATGAGACTATTATTTTGGAGAAACAATTAACCTCTACCAAAAAATAAATCCACCAGAGGGAAGGAGGGGAAGGCTGGAAGAGAAGGAAGCGGCTCGGATTCGCCGGTGGAGGGAAGCGCTGGGCTCGGGGTTCCAGTCCCCTGCTTCAGCACCAGGGGCATGGACAGCGTCTCCGGAGCCGGCTGCAGCCGCAGGGCCCTCACGGCCGCCGCCGCGGTGCTGCTGTCGCCGCTGCCGCCGTCGCCGCCGCGGGCCCCCGTGCTCCCCGCTCCTCGCTGCTGAAAGGCGGCGCCTCCTAATACCCGGCCTCGGGTCCCCTGCCATCCGCTCCGCCGGCGACGGGGCCGGGAGGAGTACGCTCGCTCCACAGATCCGACGCCAAGCAGCAACTTCAAGGATCATTTTTCCACGGGGGACTGGGAGGAATCCGGGCGGAAGAGTAAAGTGGAAGTTCTCAGCAGCTCTGCGAAATCATGGGCTGTGCAGTGAGGGTCGAAATGCTCAAAGGCCCACACTTGAAATAAACGGAATGTTCTTCGGTGGGTTGCAGCTGTTGTGGAAGTAGCTTTGCAGAGGAAGCTGGAGATCTCCTCAAAATTCTGCTTTAGAGAAACCGAAAAGTCTTCTAATTTCTCTACTTGACAGGTAAGTGATAATAATATCATTTCTTCTTTTTGCAACTCTAATGACTTCTCTGAAGATTTAACAGAAGGGACATAAACAGTGTTATTTTTCCTTGTGGATTAAGGAAAAGACAAGCAATTTTGTTTTTTAAATGATTGTTCTTGGATCATGATTTTAGGAACTCTCTTGCCTAACAAAATAGACATTTTACATCTCCAAAGTTCCTTATGTGTCAAGAACAGTAAAAATAACATATACGTTTTCTTACATAATTATGGTAAACTTTTAGTTGACCACTTTTCTTGTTGCTTATCTAATATCTTTTGGGATCTGTGTATATCTTGTTTGTTTTTCTGTTTTTGGAACTAATGTAATCTGGTGTTTGGCAAGAGAATTTTATTCTCTTTTGCACACAGTTAAAAGTGATCTTGTCTTTGTTATATAGTATGCAAGACTCAAAAAGTTAAACTAGAGGTTGTTTGACGATGCTTTATGATATGTTGTATATGGCTGTAATTTGCTAACTGTGCCAGGGAACAAACACATACACATTGTGTTCCCCTCTCACCATTCCAACCCCCAAGTGTAACTACACCTGTAGAATCTTACCCACAAACACACACACATTTTTTCCTTAGCATCCTCTTTCTAGCCTTTTAAAGCGCAAGACTGCTTGCTCAAACCAGATCCAGCAGAAGGTAGAAAATGAAAAGCTTTAGTGTGCCTCTTTAGGAGAACTGGATTTCAGTAGCATTCTGACTTATTAGTTCTACAAAATACATTTGTCACTGAGATCCAGAGAGTGAAAGGGGCCAATAGGTTCTTGACATACCATAAACTTTAAAATGCTAAGTAAATCTGTTTTCTGTTGATACTTATTTCTGGAGTCTTCCCCTGGAACTTTTAAATTACAATCTTTCACAGTGACCTTGATAAGCATTCTGCCTTAATAAAAAGGGTTCACTGGGTAAAAGCAGTTACACAAATTTATAGCCTATGCCTGACATTTCACTAAGAACTCGATCAATTCCACTGAGTACATTCCGTTCAGTGGAGAGTGTTAACTTGCAAGGATGGAATTTTACAATAGTGTAAATATATGTGATTGTATATGCATAACCAACTCTGTGAAAAGAGTTTGCCCCTTTGAAAAATTACAGTTCTTTAGATTTTTCTTTTAATTTCATAGGTCACCTATAAATGGCAGTAAAATATCTCCAAAGGATATCTATACTCCTTAATTTTAACACAAAAATTATCTGAGGCAGTTACAATGGTAAGCGTTGGTGGGGTGAGAGCCCCTTGTTTTGTGTTGGCTGAGAGTAGCAATTACTCTCAGAGGAAAAAATCATTCTTAACTGTTACTTACCAGCTGCCATGGACCTGCTTGCTAAGCAGAAAGGGAGCAGAGGCATTTATGTCGCCGAGCTCCTTGGGGGCTCCATCGCCCTACATCGGTCACAAATGATTATCTGAGGAACAGAAACACATATCATCGATTTGGATTCCTTCCCAGAAACCCTACAACGTGCTCCTAATAATCCAATTTATTTTTTTCCCAGTCAGAGAGACATGGAAGTCAAATTACCACGTAGAAGACTTAAGCATGTTTTAAGAGAGTTAAAACAGTTGTTAGACTATTGTTTTGGTTGACAATTAATTAACATAGACGGACTTCCCCTGTCAGTAGTGGGTAAAATGCAAGCAAAGGATGTGTTCCACCAGGGAGCCTGCCTGCGGGAATGTGGCTGCAGTTCCTGTCTTAGTGGCAGAGGGGGCAGACTTTCTCTATGTGTAGCTGAAACCTCTCAAAGTAAAAGTTACAGTTGCCTAATGCCTTTGGAGATTTAATCACAGAAATAAATAACTCTAATTCACCCTTACAAACTCATGAAAGTTTATGAAAGCCCTTGTCAATCCTTATCTCTGAGGAAATGTCCTTACATTGAGACAGAGTTTTATAAATCAAGTGAATACCTACCTAAATGCGAATTCTTAATTGCAAAACAAACAGGGGGGGGGGGAGTAGTGGAAAGCCAAGCCTCATTTTGCACAGAATCACTTGTCTTTAAAGAAAAAAAGAACAGTATCTTATTCAAGGACATCTGTACCCCATTCAAGAAATCTTTTTGACTTGATAGCCATTTTATTTTGTTATGGAAAGAGGATATAGGAGGTTGTAAAAGTACCAGACACAACAATTCAACATCTTCATCCCCTTAAAAAAAAAAAAAAAGGAAAAATTTTTGTTGAGTAAGACTAAGTGTCCTTGGCTGTTGCTCACCTCTGAGACTTGAAAGGGAAAGGTGAAATAGGGTTACACACCAAGACAACGTGAAGTGTATGTAAGACCAGAGTGTAACTAAAAATCAGCCCTGGAATCTGTTCAATTGCCTTTTTTCTTTAACAAGAAATAGAGTGTGGAGAGTGGGAAAGGGAGTTCTGGTTTGGATCTTTAAATTAGAAAATATTATAAAAATACTTTTTGGATAACTTTTTATGTAGACTATCTAAATATCGATTGAATATTCTAACGTAATATTGATACCATGAAATCATGTTGGATTTGAATGACCAAAGTTTGCCTTTGGATTTCTGTGCTTGGGCTTGAACCAATCACAAAAATTTATTAAAAAAATAATAGTAAGAGATGATTATTACTGAAAAGAAGGCTTTTTAAAATTTGGTAATTGGCTTTTTTTTTCTTCACCATTTAAAATATGTAAATTCTGGGCAGTTAACCTGCTTTCTCACCTGGTTCTATTACTCTACTAATGAAGAAAAGCAAATTATAAACCACAAATTATTTCTACAGTCATCTCACCTGCCCAGAGACCTACACAGTGAGTCACAGAATAGGATTCAAACATTTATTTGGTGTTTTCTTCCTGTTTAGCTGAGCATAATGAGTTATACATAACATGCCTTGAAAGAGATAAGATGCCGCAGTACAAAACATGTTATGCATCATGATGTAGGAAAACAGGGATTGTTTGACAGTCAAAAGATCAGGATTATTGAACTGCTAGTCATAAGATCATGTACAAGTCACTTAACCCACTGAAATTTAATTTTCCTTCCCTAAAATGGAGAAACTTTATCTGCTAATTAAGGGACAATCTTTTACATAGAGTTGACACCTAAATATTCATGAGATGAATGAATGATATCTCCTTTGTGGGATCTTAGCAAGTTCAAATACAGTCCTTTTGAGAGTGTTTTGAAAACTTAAGTGCTATGTCTGAGAGTTATTATAAATAATTTCAAATAGTGTTCATTCATTCATCAAGAATTTTCCTGTTAATTACTGTATGGCAGGCACATCTCCCACATTTAAGAGCTCTCATTATAGGTAGGGAATATACTATTTTCCTGACAATTCAGCAGTCATTTTCTTTATATCTCTTAATGGTATAAATATTTCAGTGCAAGCAGTACTCAGGTATAAAAAATATTTATTACTCAGAATTGACACCACATTTTACAACAGTTGGTCAAACATAACCTGAGTTCACTTTAACTGCTTTCATTTTGACCTTGGAAGAATCCATCATTGTCCTTGTGTCATAATTTTCTAGTCTATAAAGGAAGATAAGTATTCCACATTGCTGATATTAACAAGGAAACTTACAGGATTGAATAGACTTTAAAACTCAGTATCTGCAAACATATCCAGAAAACACTGTGATTTGATTTCCGGCTGGTGGGGATGGAGTAAAATGTGGACAGCATGGGGCTGATCTAAGGGGCTAGCCTGGAAATGCTGGTTAGGCATTGTCTTGACTTAGTCCAAAGCCTAGATTCTATTCATAGACTTCGTCAGGAAATCTCAAATTAAGCAATATATTATTGCTATTTTCTTTTATCAGTTCAAGTTTTAAAAATGACCATAATTTTCTCAAATATAATTTATTAACATTTGATCTGTATAGGTTTCTGGACTAACACTAAAAATATACTGATAGTATGCTTAAAAATATAAATTATTGTTTTGTGTTATAGTCATTTGCAGTAGAGTTTTGTGATTAAACTACTTGACTGTACCAGAGATGAAAAATTACATAATTACATAGTAATATAATTCTGATTTTTTTGTTTAATTTGTTATCTCTTACAAAAAAGTCAAGGAAAGAGCCAATAGATAAATGAAAATGGAAAAGAGTATGGAGTAAGAGGTCATTAAAATAATGTCTTGGGGCCAAGAACTTTATTTCTGAATTATCATTGTGAAGCTTATTCAGCACATTCTACACAATCAACATGTCAGAATATCATTTCGATTTTCATGAATTTGTTCTTCAGTTTGTCAGCAAAACTAAAGTAATAGTGTTTATTTAAAAAATAAAAGAATGATTAAAACAAATGATTTAAATACTGGCTAATTATCACTTCATCAAATTTAATGTCTATACCTGCATGTATTTTTAAATTAATATTTGTGAAGTAATTATAACTACATTTACATTTAGCAAATGTAATTCACTCAAAATTTCAGCTCAAGATTTAATTTTTTAAAGGAATAAATGTTTGTTAATTCACTAAAAAAAATGAATGGAGCACAGGAATCTTTTAGAAATGGTACCAGAATTTTAACAGTAATGTGTTTCTTATATAAAATTATAAAAAAATAATAATGGATTCTCTTGAATCTTCTCAAAGATAGCCATGGTGAGAAATAAATACCTGAGATTAAAAAATTTAAGAATGTAGATGAGAGAAGAGTGTCGCATGGTTAAAATGCATCAGCTATGTACAAAATCTGGAGTCCAACTTGGTTTCTCATCAATTGGTCATGTAATCTTGAATAAACCACTTTACTGTAAATTAATAGATCATCTGTTTTCTTAGTCCTGCTGGGGAATCGTTATTGTGTCCATGAAAAAACAAACAAAAATCCATAGGTTTAGTTGAGCTCAAATACTTTTCTTTCACTTTCCTCATAGCATTCCTCTTGAAAATGTTTCCATACTCTTATGGTGGAACATACAAGGGATTTAGAATTAGACCTGAATTTGAATCCTGGTATAGAAATAGCATACTGATATGAACTTGGGCAAGGAGTATAAACTTCTGAGTCTCCTTATTTATGAAACAAAAGAAAATGCCTACCTCAATACCCCGTTGGGAACACTTAATGCAACAAGACATGTAGAATGGCTGGTGAACATTGGTCAGTGCTATTCCTCAGCTCATTAGACCAGTCCGCAAACAATGCCTCTGGTCAACTATTGCTCTTATTATTTCTCCAGATATTTCGCCCCATGCTGTATATTGTCTTCCAAATATAATATGCTCACTGCTACCTAGTTCTTTTCTTCACACTTTGTCCTGGACTGTTTTCTGTTTACTTATTCAAACCTACACGTCTTTGCATAGATTGCAAGTTCAAGCGCGGCCAGTCAGTGGCGCAGGGAGTGAGGCTGGCCATCAGGTCTAAATGCGTTCTCCACTGGGGCAGACGTGGGAACTGAAAATATAGAGTGTTGTGTGAACACTACCTATTTTTACCTAATTTAATTTTTAATTTTGCATGGAACAAAATGGACTACATGCTAGATTCAGCTCAGCACATGGGGTATGTTCTGTGTCTTGTTACTTTTCCACTTTCAGTAGCATTATTAAAAACCCAAACTGACATAATCAGAATTCTTTTCCGGTCCTTTTTATTTTTATTTAAAAATGGAGGAATGAACCATGACTTGGCAAAAAGGCACATCTTCATATCTTTTAGAAGTTTACAAGAAATAAATCTCAAAAAATAATGAGTGGTTGAGATGAAATAGATACTCCATTTTTTTTTTGAATGGCCAAAAATATTGTGGTAGAAAAAATAGCCCATATAATCAGTAGGAACAAAGGTCAAAAATATTCCATAATGAGTGTCATTCGCGCATCTCTTTCTGCTACAGTTTTTCTTGGCTCTCATACATGCAACAGCTGCAATAACCCAGATGATGACGTTGACTAGCACTAAGACTAAGAAGGAATGATAAGCTATTGATTATCTATTAAATGCAAATTCTCCCCTCCACTAGACTACAAATGTCCTGTTTTTATAGTCACTGATGTGTTTAATAAACAGATAATTTCTTTGGAAAGTTATTTATACTTTTTCAGCAGCAAACCACAACATGCATTATAGCATGTTCTGTTGGAGTCCACATTAGGGGCGAATGGAGTGTTGTATGTACAGCCGCGCCACACAGTGCACAAGCACAGGGACGGAGAGACTGTGCTCTGGGCTTGATATTAGGCAACCCTCCATGATTCCTTTCTTTGTAATCCTTGTTAATAGTGACTGTGTCAAGGGGAAAACAGCTGTACCATGGTTGATGAAAGAAAGGAGCTCATTTTGCCTAATTGGTATTTGCATATTTTCAGTTCTTTTTGTTAGAAGTGACAAAATCATAGCTCAAAGTGGTGTAATCCAAGTAAGTAACTAAACACACACACACACACACACACACACACA